GAGAGAGAGAGAGAAAAGAATGTTCTTTTTTTAAAAAAAATTCAAAAATAGCTAATAAAACTGTGAATTTTTAGATATATGAGTTATGAAAAATTTTTATGAAAATTTTGAAAATGCAAGTATTTTTAATTGAAATAAAGTTCAGAGGAATTCGATATAACAATCAATGTTATAATATTTATCAACAGCTTTTAATTTTTTTTAAAAAATTCATATGATTTATACACAAAAAAAAATTTATAAAAATAATTATATGATAATTTTATTATCGTACAATGTTTTTAGAAGAAGAAATAAATTACACAGAAGCAGACAACTACGCAAAAAAATTAAAGTAAATAAACAAATATTACATTATGTGTAATTATTTGTCTTCTTTTCTTCGTCAATAGATGTCAATCATATGCAAATGATGTATATTAATTGATCGATTATAAATTTATTTAAATACTTTATCCAACTTCTTCTGCTGTTTTCTTCATTGTACGAAGTAAATACAATGTAATACATATCTTTTTATCTTTCATTCTAATTTTCATTGTAATTCGAATCTTTCGTAATCGTTATCGAATCGTTTCATAACGATTATAAAATAGAATTATAATATATAATATTGAAGAAATTTTATATATCAATATAAATATCACTTTCGCAACCTCTTAAGTGAAAGTTTTTTATGTAATATATTAAGACTACACGAATAATTTTGAATAAAATTTTGAGAAACATTCAATTATAAATAAATAATATTTTTATTTTTGAAAAGTAATCATTACGATATAAAAATTATATAAAATTATGAAAATATTGTAAAACAATGATATTGTAAAACAGATATCAATAATTCTTCGTTGAAATATTACAAAAATTAAATTGATTTTTCAACATCAAACTTGAAGATAATCATGGTTGGTTGCCTCAACACTTTCGTGAATCCCATACCTAAAGTTCAGTCTATTGAAAATCTGATTGCACAATAGATTTACAAATTGTGCAATTATGGTTACAAATTCGTCATATTATCTTACATTTCTATAATGTAAAAAGTTCGTTAATTTTCATTCAAATCTTGAATGAATATTTATTATCCTTTGGCATTTCCTTTTTGTCACAGCGTTTTTATTATTTTTTTATCATTTTTATTATACTTGAGGAGAACTTGTTTCCATTGAAAAGAATTATAATAAAGTGAATTATTATTAATATAATAAACGAGTTTAGATATTTTTTAATTAAAAAAAAAAAAATTAACATTTCTTTCTGAAGAAAAAAACAAATGTTTCAATATTTTAAGAGATTCAACGTTTTATATAACGTTTTGAAAAAAGCAATAAAAAGGCAAATCAGGATTGATAATATATTTTATGAGGTGGAAAAACATTGATTAAAAAAAATTTTTAACATTATTCTTCATAAATTTTTCTTTTTTATCTACAAACACACTTTGACGGTTCTCATCGGTTCAAGATATGTGCTATTGTCTTCACGTCACACACAGCTTTATAGCACACCATTCACTATTTATACAATATGTTCTTTTACTTTTACTCGTAAAATATTCTAATATTGTTTGTCGAGATTATTTAACATATCAAGACACATACAATCGCAAACAATTCAAACCAAGTGTATTCGACTAAACTTCTCAAAAGATTATCACTTTCTAAGAAACATTCTGAAAACTGATGTACAATTTAATGATAAACATGTCAGATTAACATCGGATTGTCTTTTGGAAGAAAAAACAGAAGGAACGAAAATCAATATAAAGCACTGCTAGTCAGCCAGGAACAAAGGCGCCAAATTGTTTTTCTTCTTCGATTTAATATTCGAAGAAATTTCAACAATTATCTGTGTTATCTGTTTTAGAAAAAGAAAAAGGCGTCTCATTAATACAAAGAGGGAAATAAAGTCTCAAGAATAGACCACTATAAAAGTCTTTTTCTTCGAACAATAATGGAGTAGACGGCATTCCAATGATAGAGAAACCGATCAAATGATGTCATAACGTCTAAATATGAAAAAAACAAAAAAAAAAGAAATACGAGAAAAGGAAAATCAATAGGAAGCTAACAAAGATGGAAACAAAGTTTAAAGAGAAACGTCATAAAGATACAAAAAAAAAAAAAAAAAAAGGGAAAGTAATCGATATTGAAACCATTATAGCTGGGAAGATTTTATTTTATGAAGATACGCTTTATAAAAAAACTAGTTGGTAGACTTGTGACTTTTGAATTCGTACATCAATCATGGTGTCAGGTAAAATATCACCGAATTTGAAAGAATAAAATTCGAAGGATAAATTCCAATGTCAATCAAAGTCCATTTTATATTCATTTAAAATTCTGATTGATGGAATCTTTAAAAATATTTAATCTTATGCTCTTTAATACTTTGAGATTCTTAAAAAAATATCCAATTAACCTCATTCATATTTTTCGTTTTTTTTTTTTTTTTGTTATTAATTTCGTATGGAATACGAGAAGAAGTTAGCCACACGTTCAAGAATCTTAAAAGTATCATATCGAAAATAATAACAAAAAGAAAAATCGATAAAACTTACATTCGCACAATATAAATCTAACTTAATGACTTTAATAATACATTCAACAAAAATATTGATTGATCGTAATATTCCAATTTCGCTTAACTTACAATTATCCACGAATCGTATCATTAATATCATTAATATTCCTAAGTATAATATAAGTGTATTAAAAAAAAAAAAAATCTTACCCGCATGAAATCTTTCCATATCCTAAGGCAGGATTCGAGCAATTAGGAAAACGACGAAACGACGTCATCGATTCCCAAAGAAGAAAAATACAGAGAGGTAGGAAGAAATAAAGAAATAAAAATCTATTCATTATCGATGATCAAGGCCAGAAGCAGAGCGTTCGAGAACAGAAGTCGGATTTAAAGGCATTCCAAGAGGCAGCTTTCCAGCCAGTAGCCGGCAAGATTGGAAAAGATCGAACACTATCTGTCGTACGCTTTCGACACAGATCTTAGCCTCGTAGAGACTCGTCCCAGACGAAGAAGGCGCAGGTGCACGTTGCAGCAGTGAAAGTATCCGAGTGCAGTTGCGATCTGTCAATGCCCTCTTGCATAGTCAGTCGAGGACTAGCTGCGCTGTTTAGATTTCGAGCTCGTTGAAGTTGAAAGTCTCGGTGTCCATCCACTGATTCCTCACCTGGTCAACCCGATCCAATCCTCGAAACGAGCATTTTCGAGCACCAACTGGTTCCAATTATTCTTCATCTTCGAGCCCTTAACCGGAGGAAATACTGTCCTGGATCGAGATGATCGCTGCCACTTTGTATCTTCTCGTGATTGTATCCGGCGCAACTACCCTCTCCATCGACTCTAATCGTGAGTAATTAAAGATATTCTTGCTTTTCGATCGATTCTTGTACGATGAATGATTTTCGTTGGAGGTTGGAGCCGGGCATCGGAGTCGTTAGAAAACCTGGAAGTGAAAGTTTGATAAGAAGATAGAAGGTGTGTTGAAGGTGGAAAAGGATTTTTTTCCTTCTTTTTTCTTTCTTTCTTTCTTCTTTTTTTCTTTTTTTTTTTTTTTTTGATTAGAGAGACGCGAGTCAATTTCGCGTTCGATCAATTAAGATCAATTAAGAAGAAGTTGATCGAATGTTGATTTTGAATTTTATGAGTGTTGATAAGAGTGATGAAGCGCTTTCATTTTCTATTGAGTTAAATATGGAAATATGTGGATTTTTATATGGCGTGGAATGAGGGAAATAAACGTTACATAAATGTGTTATGCGTGGAAAAAGGGTCAGTCGTGCAAGTATCCCTCAAGAAATTTCATTAGAATTTCACAATGTGCGGTTTCAGAAGTGACAAGTTGTCTGGCAACTACCTTTTCGCGTAACCAACGCGCCGTTTCCGCTTGTTTCCCTGATTAACGATCATTAACTTTTCGTTTAATGATGGCCTTACGTTTCAGACATTTTTTTAATTCGATGTTTTAATTCGACCTTTTACTTCGCGTCGAATTTACTCAAGAAGAGTTCAAAAAGAATATCAATAACAAATAACCGCGTTACGTAATAAATTAAAATCCTTTTTTTTGTTATCCGTTTGAAAATTGTTTAATGTTGTTGAACAATTTTTCTCTTCTTTTTTTTTTTTTTTTACGTTAACATTTCCATTTTCCATAAGTTGGAAAAATATATAATAAAATTGTAAGATGTAATTAATAATCTATTTAATCGAAAGAAAGATTAGAAAGTTATACTGCAACTTTCTGTCGGCAATAATACAAGAAAAATCATTGTCATTGATACATAAATAATAATAAAAATTATTTTCCAATTAACTTATTGCCAATTAATGCTTCAATAATTTCAGCCGAATACATAAAACAGTGTTCGAGAAGCGATCCACAGTTGAAAACATGCCTGATTGACGCACTGCACCATCTGAGACCTTACTTAAGCGTTGGGATACCGGAAATCGAGCTGCCTTCCGTCGAGCCATTTCGCGTAAGCTCTCACCACTTTCCTCTTGATACGAAATTAATGCTTCCTCACTCGTTAATAAAATTATCACAATTCTTGTTTTCAATAATTTTATCAATTTATCGTTAAATTTCAATGTATCATTAAAATTATCAACTTTTACGGATAGAATTTTTTTTTTTTAGGTTATATACAAACACATACAAGTTTAGAAAAATATCGATTTCTCTTAACTTAATTTTTCTTCGCTAACTTGACAAATATAATATAAATAAAAATCAATAAATTTCCATTCCTTTTCCAAATTTGAAACGTACGTCCTAAATTGGAGATAACAAAAATCGAGATCAATAAATCGACCAGAATCTTCTCTAATAAATATAATTCGAGATACTTTCAATTCAACCTATTTTAATTCGAGATAACTGAAAATCAATAAATTGAGGGAAGCAAATTGTGAGCCGTTTGTAAACTGGTAAAATCCCATCGGTACGTCTGCCAAAACTTGTGCTTATTCTAACAGATGGACGAGCTGACTCTCTCCCTGACAGGTGGCACAAACGGTTACAAGGTTCAACTGCGCGAATTATTCGTGAGGGGAGCGAGCAACTATACGGTGGAGAACATTAAACTCGGCTCACCCTTCGAAGCCATTGTACGAATGCCAGCCCTCATCTTGGACGCCCATTATTCCAGGTTCACGATCTGCAAATTCCTCTTCTCTATTTAGATCTTGCTCTCCCTGGCCGTTAACCTTATTAACTTCTTCTTGTGCTTATATAATTACGCGTTGGATTTACATTATTATTATTATTTTTTGATAAATTAATTTTTGACGACTAAATAAATTACATATTATTTTACACAATGTTAATGTTAAACGTGATGATTTTAAAAGTTCGATTGAACATTTATACATTTCGTATTTAATACGCCAGTTCAGGGGTGTTGATTATTCTACCAGCCAGTGGCAATGGAACGTTTCACGCTCGATTCGATGATGTCACGGCTGTGGTTAAAGGCACGGTCTCAACGAGAATGAAGGATGGAAAAACGTATCTGAACGTGGATAATCTTGACGTTGTCCTCGACGTGAAGAAGGTTCGGATGGGTGTCCACAAGATATTCAATAACAATCGGATCCTGAGTGAGTAATAAAATAATAACGAACGAAATTAATTTTAAAAAAAAATATCAGTAAATGTTATCGATCATCGACGTTAGAATTGTTGTATACGAGGTGGATAAATTTTTGTCATTTTTGTAGCCGAGGCAACGAATCTGTTCCTCCGCGAGAATGGGCAGGAGGTGTTGAAGGTGATGGAACCTCAGCTGAAGAGGAAGTTGTCCGTACTTTTTGCCGGAATTGTTAATCAATTGTTACGCCACGTGCCAGTGGAAGTTTTCCTGCTGCCTTGAATCGCGTGTTTCTTCTTCTCTTTTCTTCTTTTCTTTTTTCTTTCCTTCTCGTTAGAAATAAGCGAAGAAACAAATAGTTCAAGTTAGTACATACATAGAATTAGGAAATTGATAACTTGGGTTAGAACAAGATTATAAGGTACAAACAATATCGTTACGATATTTTTCATTGTAATTAATTGTAACGATGGAATTTATTGTAAAGTACATGAAAAATATACATGTATATATATTTATAGAGGTATAGATTTATATTTTAAATAATCATTTATTTTCGATGATATTAGTTTGATATTGCAATGATATTGTATTCATACATATATCATGAAAAAAAATCTAGAAGAGTTTGAAGAAGAGAATTGAATAATTGAAAGAAGAAAATTAAAAATATCTTCATTTAAAGGGCAACAGTGTAAGAATCAATATTTATTGTTGATTGTACAAAATCATGATCATGTAATCAATCGATATCACCTAAATTCAATTATTGGTTTCAAATTTATTTAGATACTTCGTTCAATTAAGAATTTCAAAAACGATTGAAGAATTCGTATAAACATTGTTGCATTCACAATTGCGTCTTCAACAATTAAAAAAAAAAAAAAAAATAGTTCAGAAGCCACGTTGATCATTTTGAATGATCAAATGAATTTTACAAAATTTTTCTTAGAATCATTCGTGTTATATTATTACAGTCCTTCTTAACTTGTTTCTTTCAATTCATCTTGCTACGATTACAGAATTGAAACATTCCACTCTTAACACTTTCAACAAAAGAAAACTTTGTTGAGTCTTTTTTTAAATCTATCATTTTTTTTTGTGATTATTTGTTATATTTTTATTTGTTACATTCTCGGGATACGATTCAAGGAAAGATTGTTGAGAACGGTATCTTTGAGAAGAAACGATTGGAGAACTCGGACAGATACGTATCCCACATTTCTACCAATTTTGGTAACATTGTTCGATACATCAAGGGCCAATATTCGTTGATGAAGACCAAAGCAGCACGATCTGAAAGGAGAAATTTTAAGATTGAAAAAATTATTGTTCCCAAAGATTATATTAAAAAGGGTATTAAAGTTGAGGAAACAAAATTACTTGATAAATCACTCACTTAACGATTAATTGCCATTGTCAAACACCAAGGTAATAAAAATGTATTGGAACATACGATTGAATTGAAATTATTATCGTAAGTTAAATAAATCATTCTGTCTCGTAAATTTCGCGCAGAAAGTTCATTAATTACAAAACAAGGATCTCGTTATTTTCAGAAAGGATAAAAGTAAAGAAAAAAATTTTCAATCAGATCCTTGTTTATTACATCGACATATTATTTTATACCCTAAATTCAAAATTAGTTATCAGAAAATTAAAGCGAGATCAAAAATTGTGAAATTTCAGATTGTTCCATATTTAAATGGAGCAAGAAATATCTTCTCGCGTTCAACTTCGATTTCAAAGCAATAAATATATCGTTATCAATCAGAGAATACATACAATATCGAGAAAGAAATAATTAAGTAATTTTTAATTGAAAAATCGAAGCCTATGCAATAAATCTCGAATGCAATAACGCAATGGGAAAAAAAAAAGAAGGAAATTATTACATATCCGCGAATGACGAAAAATTTACATTCTTCAAACTCGACGATCACGTAACATCGCGTCGATACGACGGAAGGAGGAGCGTGGAACATAATCATAGAGATAAAGAATACAAGAATAAGCGGCAAATAACAGCACATATAACATATTGCATGAATGCATGCTAATTAAACGACAGGATTCTCTCGAAAATATACGAGCCTCTCCTTCTCTCTATGCACGCGCCCCGCACGTAACATTATGCAATGCGATGTCGAGACAACTGGTCTTTCTACGATCCAACTAATGAAAGTTTCTCCTCTGATTTGAAGCATCTGACTTAAGGTAAACAATTATCTCCCGTGCTTCTCTATTATGTCACATATACCTCTCTTTCTTTTTCACAGTATCATCGAGGCTTGCACGATTATTATTGCTGCGACGCGTAAGCGTACCGACTCGTTCCTTAATCGGATTTATTTTTCAATCGGATGGATTAAGGACACTTACTCAATTCTTCGTTCCCGTTGAAGAGATCGCTGAACCAGATCTTCATGTTACCAATCGTGGGCGCCGTTTTGAAATGTTCCACGACCCATCTGTCGTTCACTACGTGGCCCGAAATGTCCCAAGTGCATCTGATGTCCTCCATGCTGATGTTGAAGAATCCTGTCGAGTTAAAACGTGCGTGTAAGTAGGAGGTATATTATTCGTCGTTGATAATAATTCGAAAGAATTGAATAATTTTATTTATTATGGATGAAAATATTATTGATTAATAACTTAAGCTTTATCTTCAATTTTCCTCCTTTTCTTGTATAAAAAAAATAATAATAATAATAATAATAATAATTTCGTGTTTGATAGAAAAATTAAAAATTTCTTCCGGTTTATCGTTTGTTCATTGCTCGCACATACCTTTCCCACCCATTTTGAAAGTGCCCAGTGATCCCTCGGCTTTGTAGTCGCCATCGATCAGGATCTTTGGTATCTCGACGTCAATTTCCAGTCGGAAGAAGTCGCCATCCATTTCCGGTTTCACGGATAAGAAACGTGATTTGGCAAGGCCGTACAACCGGGCATCCGTGACCAACATTTTCCCACGAAGTTGCCCACTTTCGTGTTCCATCGAGTAGGATTCCGTGTAAAAGGGATCAAGAGATGGTATATCGAACTCTGGTAAACCTATTATGGAAACGCGAAGATATTTAATAAAAATTACAATTTTTGCAAAAATCTCAAGAGAAACGAAATTTGCTTTGAAAATAAAAATATTCATGTTTATCTCGGAATGTTAATTACGAAATGAAATATCGAAAATAAGGAAAGAACGTATGCACTGTTAACATAAATAATACTCTAACTGGATACTTTTAAAAAATATTTGCCAAGTGAGTGGAACGTGTTTTGAAATCGTAACGAAGAAAAAGAAGAGAAGAAAAGTGTGGATGCCAAAATCTTCGAGCAATCGTCCATTCCCAATTTCCCATAATTTCTCTCCGTGGAAAAACAAGTTCATTTGTTTACACGTTGAATAAAAATGTTCTCGCGATCTTTGCAATAGAACGGTGTTATGTAATATTTCTCACTTCAAAATAATCCACGAGGAAAATGGAAAAATGGATGGAGCAAGGACGACTTCGAAACGAGTTTATATGAAGGAAAAAATTGTGATTATTAGATTGTGACGTGTGTTTGGAAACAGAGTTCGAGTATACATAAGTGCACAAGTTCATTTGAATATATTTTCTGCTCTGATGGTTAATTATCGATAAAAGTACGATAATATCACCTGGAACGAATGTGGGCCATGCCTCTTGAATGGCGAGACGCAAACATGACGAAAAATCATCTGAATCCCTTTTGCAAGTCTTCACTGTTGCAGCTGAGAAATAAAATGATTAAGAAAAATTTTAAGATAAATTAACCGATTTACGTAGGTAAGGAAAAACAATTTTCATAAAGATAGAGGATCTTGTTGTTTAAGGAAAAAAAAAAAAAAAGAACTCAGTTAATAGAGGCTAATAAGGATTTGATGCAATTTTATAACTCGATATATAAAAAAAAAGTTCAAATTGCTGGGTGATTCACGAGGGAAAACAAACGCGCACAGTGAATGGTGGTTTTCAGATTTCGCTTTAAAATTTCAACTTACCAGCACATTGGAATTACCTATGTTAACTTTCTACTTCACTACTTCTGTGAAACAAATAATAGAAACTTTTACTCTGATTCGAAGTAAAAACAAAACTGTCTCGTATATCGAAAGTATTCACTAAATTTTGTATTTCATCGAATTACTTTAATTTAACTTATTTCTATTAATTTCATTCATCTATTTAATCCATTTAATCAAACGTTAATTTTCTTAAATACAAAATTATTAATCTCATTAGATATACCATTCCAAAACGAAATGTTATATCAAAAATTATATTATCTAAAATATTTTATAATACAAAAAAAAAAAACAAAAAGTTTCTAACATTTAATTAAATCAATCCTTTGCAAAAAAAAAAAATCTTCCCAAAAAATTACTCTCCAAAAAAAAACAAATAATCTTCATCTTTTTACTCCACCTTTCGCGCCCTTTTTCAAAAATCTTTCCTCTCTCCCTAAAAAAAAAGGCTCTTCATCTTTGTCAAAAAAAAAAAAAAAAGAAAACCGAATAGCAAGAATATTGAATAAGAAATATTCGAATCCTCTCAACTTACGAAGCTGATAATCCCCCAGGACGAGGGTGGCGGCGCATAGCGCGGCGACGACCACGGCTTGGAACGACATAGCGCTGGACGGTTAAAAATCTTTCAGCTAGCCTAGCCAATTATAAGCGGTCCGTTTATATAGTTCCCAGCGCCAAGGACTCGTGGCGGTGAGCTACGTTGCAAAATTGCATGTCATTAAAGCGCGCCAACACGTGAGAGGCGAGAAGCGGCCCGCTTCTACGCCTGCCCTATCAAACGGACAGAGAGTAAACGGTGCGTAATGTGTCGTGGATTCCGGGGAACAGCGTAAACCCGCTCTTCTTTTGTTGTGAACGCGCCGATCCGGAGGGAGGTTGATCCAGCTTCGACTTTTCTGTCACTGCATAGGCATCCCTGGCTCGCGCCGAGCCGATAGCTTTCCTCTCGCGATCGATGTTCTGCATAGGCGTTCTCGGAAACCGAGATAGCGGAATAATCGACACTTGTTTACCTTCTTCCACTTGGATATCGAGTGTTTTTTTTTCTTTTCTTTTCTTTTCAACGAGACGATGCTCCATTTGGCGTGATGAAATCGTTAAAATGGGATAAAATTTCAGATTTTTGTTAACAACTGAAACTGTTATTGTTACTGGATGCGGATCTCTCGTTGGAAAGATGATTATATAAATATACGTAGATAATTGATAAGGGTTGATAAGGAAGAGAGCGTTGCTTCTTGTTAGAAAAAATTTAATGGTATTGCAATATAATATAATATTGTAATGTATTGCGAATGATATGTATCGTGAACGTTTTGATTCTGGTGTGTAATGACTAATAATAAAGAAAAATGCTTCGATATCAAGACGTAGTTCGTTTTTTTTTTTTTTTCTATTAAGAATATTAAATAATTTTTTCTATAATATGTTATAATTTTCCTTTGGAAAGAAGGATGCTTGTAACATCTTAATATCAAAGTCATGAAATTTAATCATTATATATTTTATCTTATTATATCTATTATATCTGTCTATTATATCAGTCTTATATCTGTTTATATAAAAATATACATATATAAGACTCATAATGCATCAAAGAATTAATAACAGAATAATGTAAATGTATTCAGTTATATACGCAATTAATACTTATTAATTACTTAATAATTACTTAAGTTGTAATACACACCAACTTCTTGATTGAAATTAAAAGTTTAGAAATTAGAAGTTAGCAACATTAAAACAGGTGAAACTGTGAAACTGTTTATTTAGATAATTAATTTTCCAATTATCCGAAACTGTTCGTTTTAATAATAACACATCGTTCAAATTTTTCGTTGAGGATGCTCTTATTATACCGATTCGTTTCCGAATCGACCAATATTTATCTTCTTCTGCCTGTGATTGTGGTCTAAATCGCGTGTTATGTAACGTGTAATGAATGAAGTTTTAATGCCACATCCACGTCTAATTATCCTACAATGTTATGTACCAAAATTATAGTGCGATTACAAAATACGTAGTAACGTAACAACATTTGTAAAAGTAACAACGAACGATTTTAATGACTCACGGATTTGAATGTGAAGTGAATCGTGCTCTCTGCTTTGTTTCTTTGCTCCCTTCAAATTAAAGAAGGGATAGAAATTTAATTTTTAAGTTGTTATTAAATATTTATATATAAATTGCAATAAAATATCTTCAAAATAGGTTAAATCGTTTCTATTAAAGGAAAGTTAAATTGGACGGATTAGTGAAGATTTATGACGCGTAAAAATTAATTCAAAAAATTAGACTCTTATTTGGTGCACGCTATGCGGAATAATAACGCGATCGTAAATTAAGTTATAAAGTGAAGAAAATAGCTTTTCCAGCTTTATTGTAAGAAGCTCGTTAATGTCGCACGTTTACACCTGGTACCTATCCTTGTCAAATTTTACTTCAAGCAGGACTATTGGAACAAGATTATTTACTTCAAGCAAGACAATTAGAATAGATTTAACAATTAATTTTTTAATTTATTAAGGACTTATTATTATTAAAATATATTTTATAGTTATAATCAAATTTTAAGAGTATGACAATCATCTTCTTATTATATCATATATCTTCACCAAAATCTAAATCGAAGAAAATTTAAAAAAAGCAATTACTATTAAAGATCTCTTTATAATAATAAATACAATATATTTTTCACTTTAAATCCTTCGTCAAAAGATCCTCCATATTGCCGATATGTCACGAAAATATAAAAAGAAAAGGGTATAATGGAAATAAAAAAAAAAAGTAACTTGATCTTTGACAGATAGCGAGTAAAGATCACGTGCAAGGAAAAATATTAAAGGCATTCGTGACCTTGTGACCTTGCCTGATAGATACCTGTCATGAATGTTAGCTGGTTGAAAACGATACTGTAAACAAATGACGACGAGATGTCCCTTAGGAATTGCTACGGTACCGTCTACGCAGTTTTATGTAACAGGGATTACGGAGCGCTCGAACCGGACGCCCTTGGATCACATCTCATCGATATGAGAAACTAGTTTCCATCGGGGAGGCGACTGACAAAGAAAAACGGCCAACGAAACAGTACCACATACTTATGCACTTACATACTTGATCAATCTACTCGACTCTCACTCGTTTGTTGTTCGATCGATAGATCGTTCGACACAGTTAATCGGCGAAGCGATCCGTCGATCATCAACGATCGTGTTGACAAAGATGTTGGACGATTTGCGCAAACAAAATTAGTAAACGAATTAAATATTGTAAATCCATCGATTAGATTAATTTTTAATTTTATTTTTATAATTAAGGCTGAATGGATTGAAAATTTGTTATTTGTTTTAAAATTTGTTAGAATGGCTTAATGAGTTTATTGATATTTGTATTCAATGATAAACTGATGAAAATGGCAAAAAACTTTAATTGATATTGAGATGAGAAACTTTATGCCTTAAAATTTGATCTTTGAAATTAATGCTATACAAATGGATTTTTTCATATTTTTTTCGAATAATAAGTAAATTACACATCGTATTTATCCAGACGACAAATATGTAGGTCTATTGGTTAGCATTTGCAGATTGCTTATGCGGTTCACCGTTCACTGAATATATAATTACTATAGAATAATTATCATAGAAATCCGTACAAATGACACAAATTTGAAATTTGCGTGTTATATAGTGATTTATAAACACTTCAGTGAAGTTATATCTAATGGGAAACAACTTCAAGTAACTTCGATTAAATTAATTTAAGTAAATTATACTTATCTTAAAGTATACTACATTTTTCATTAGATTCGCGAAAATAAACATTGAAACGTAAAAAATTGAAAAAAATATACTATACATTTAAAATAACTGTATAAGATATCATAATCAATTAAAAACATTAATAAAAAAAATTAATTGTTTATATATCCTACTTTTGAATACTATTATCATTTTTTATCAATTATTATTAATCTGTCTTATCATCTTGTAAAAAAACATTAATCGATTTCACTCAATCGGTAATCTAGATCATGAGCATCCTTTTACTTAGCGCCATCTACATAGTACAACCTTGTGTACGTACAACTGGGGCCGCCATTGATTAAACCTGTCAGAGAATCAGCTGATCGGTTATTCACATACGTGAGATCAGCTGTGCGCAATCATGGACGAGTTGAGCGAAGAAGATTTTGTAATACCCCCTGCAAAATATGAATGTAAGTATCGTATATCGTATTTTAAATGTAATATCACATTAAATTCATCAAGTAAAGACTTTCATTGTGTTAGAATGAAATAACCGGCAGCCGGTGTGTCGTTATACCGGCATCCATTTTGCTACATGTGGATTGGTTGAAATTGAAAGTTAGAACATTATTTTACGCTCAGTTATGTAGGAAAATAAATGAAATCACGTACCTACGTTTTATTTTTCAGATTTGGATCATACAGCAGATGTACAGTAAGTATTTAGTTCATAGATTCCTCGTAAGATTAAAACTAATACATTATAGGTTACTTGCGTAGATAACCTAAAATTAAAAACATGGGATAACATATTACTTTTATTAATAGAGAATGTGAAAAATATATATCGTCGAATTATTTTAAAAATAAACAAAATTATACAATTAATATATATTATAATATATATTATATATATATATATATATATATATTCATGATATATTATAGATTACATGCATGGGGCGATACTATGGAAGAAGCTTTCGAACAATGTGCGGTGGCCATGTTTGGATACATGACGGATTTAGAGCGCGTTGAAATGACACAATTACACTACGTGGAAGCGGAAGGACATGACATGGAAAGTCTTCTTTTCCATTTCCTCGATGAATTATTGTTCATGTTTAGTGCCGAGCCATATATCGTTGCAAAGGTATATTCCATTTTTCAAATAACAATTTTATCATCATTATACTTAAAATTTTTTTTCAATTACATCAACTCTTTGTTCAACGCTTTTTCGACTTTTTATTTCTTATGCGAGAATATTTATTTAATAAATCATCCATTTTAATATGTGATTTCAGTAATAATTTAAAGAATAAAATACAATATTCTCTACCCTCTGTTTTTTATTATTTCAAAAATTTTGTAAGAGAAAGTATTATTTTATGTTATCAGAAAGTGAAGATCATTAAATTCGACCGCGAAAATTTCAAGATCAATGCGATGGCGTTAGGGGAAGAATTCACGATTGGTAAACATACTCAAAATGCTGAAGTGAAAGCGATCACGTATTCTGCCATGCAGATTCTCGAATCTTCAGAAAGAGAATGCCCAGAAATTTTCGTAATCGTAGACATATAGTTGTTTCAGAATTTACTCGGTATCTTTTTTGGTTCTTGATACACTTTTGAAATTTAACTTAGCTTAATTCTTAAGATACAAAAGTGGGGAGAAACCCATGAATATAGGAACAAGAAGGGAGATCTATACCCTCCCTTACATCCTACATAGGGTACGATCCTTTTGTAGTTGCGTAGGGTTCAAATAAATACGTTACGAAGAAAACACCGGGCTCCCTTCTTGCCGACCTATCTCAGGTACGTAGCAACGTATTAAAGAATCCTGCAACTTATTGATAATTACTCAAGAATATCATAATAACACCGACGTATAATAATAACATAACTAATAACATATATAAATGTGTTTAAATAATGTAAATATTTTCATTTCTAATTTTCTTTCTTACATATATTTACAGTTATTCGATTACTGTTGTCAATAATAAGTTTTAAGTATAAGAGACGTATGATAAATATTATATAACAAAATATTTGTATATTTTTATAAACATATAATAAAAATATTTTCTTATGTCTTGTGTCAATGAAAATTTTCATTATTAAAACGAGATAAAATTATATATATATATATATACTATTAAAATGAAATTTCAGTTAAAATAAAATCGGAGTTATAAAATCAATCAAATTAATATTGAGAATTTTCGAATCATTTGTTGAAACAGAAAACAAAATTGAACGTGCTTTAGCACGTGTAAAGTGATACGGCCCTGGTGTCCAACACCCCTCCATCGTGAAGGAAGCGACGACCGCCCGCTTAGTTTCGGGCAAGAAACGATAGGTAGTGGGATCCTCCCAATCTTCGGGTGTGTGTGTAGTACAGAAAAAAGAATCAAAAAATATTGAAAATTATATAATTCGAGAGAATATTACTCATTCGTTTCATTTTTGCCCCCTTTCCTTCGCGATAAGGCCCACGTTAAAGGGACTCACTGCCAACATCAAGCGTGGACGTTTGTTTCGAAAGCGCACACCCCTGACCATGGCGGACTGAAACGGTAATAATCTATAATAGCAATATATTTTGACGTTTTAAACTGTCAAAACCAAATAAAAGATACATTAAACGCGAATGTGTCTCGGGAAAGTCGTGATATAGGGATTTTTCACCTACATGTCGGAGCTTGCGTGGCAGTTTCATGGAAAACGAGAGGGACAGTTTTGGCGCGTGTGCTCATTATCTCTGTGAAAAGTCTGTGTAACTCGTAAATTGTTAATTTTTCTCGTCTTATTTTTATGTCAACATATACGACGCGGGTAACGAAAACGCACGACATCGTGTATTCATTGTGGAACGTCTAACCCTAAGGAGTATAAACAAACGGTAGCGTGAATATTTAGAAGATCATTATTGTCTCGATGGATTCGAAAGATAAGTAAAAACAGTGACCCTGTGAAATTCTGTAAAAAAACATAGAAAAGGTGACACGGTCTAGGAACTTTTTTGGATATCTGTGATAGCTGGCGGCGCGGTGGTTACGGAGAAAAGCGAAGTGACGGTTTTGGCGCGCGTACTCGACTCCTGTATACGACCGGCAGATGGCCGATGCGCCGGTACGTTATAGGCGCGCGTCCACGAACGCACCGACACATGACAGGCGCCTAAGCACGTACTACCACCGTGACAGAGACGCGTTCAAGAACATATCGAAGCAGTAGTAGAAGGCCACTACCACAGTGATACTGTACGTTGGAGAGCGGAGTAAAGCGCACGAACACGCGGTCCGGTGTTACTACTACCGGCACAGGCGAGTCTATCTGCCTCGTAGCCCGAGCCAGTTGCCAGCGCGCCAGCCAGCCCCGTCCATCCAATCGCCCAGCTCACGAGCCGGCCTCGTGTGCGCGCGCGACACCCCGACAGAAAAGGTTCGTTTTCCTCGCCGGTGGCTCGACCGATCATGTCGAGGCGGGGCTTATCGTGAACTTTAGAGCCTGTACATTCCTTGGAAGCTGAAAACACGGCAAGCACACGAACGGCTTCGGCCTTTTACACGCGATTATTTCGGGTCCCCAGTCTGCTGCTGCTACTACTGCTGCTGCTGCTGCTGGCTGTCGTTCCTATTGCCGAGATCGGCCCTGCAGAAAATGGATACCGCACCAGTGTGATAGAGAGACAGAGCGAAACAAATATATAGAAAAACAAGCTTGAAAGAGAAAGAGAGAGTGGGAAAAAGATAGAAAGAGAAATAAAGGCCACGCAACTACTACGACTACGACGAGGACAACGGCTACGGTTATAAACTGAGAAAGCAGGACAGAGGGAGAGAAAACGAGCGAGGGCGAGAGAGTAGTAAATCGTATGTACGAAGTGTATATATGATATATCGAAGCGAAAAGCAAGAGAAACATTCGTGCACGGGTTAGCCTCGGGAGACCGGGTTGACTCGTTGTCGTCCTCCGAGCACACGTTTTGTCTGTCTTGTCATCGACAGACATAAGTGAAATTTGCATCTAGAAATATCGACAACGCGACAACAACGATTACGACCACGACGGCGACGTATTTGCCATCGAGGAGGCACGGATATGCCTCGCTCGTCGGTGCTGTGACACGCGCCGCGCCGTGTGCTGGCTGAACCTCCCGGAAGAGAGCGTGGGCCTCCGTCTCAAAATACTGTGCGGTTTCTACCGCACGCTCGAGAGCCAAGTAAGTGGAATAAACACGCGTAAATCGTTTTTTAATATCCGTTTGTTTTGTCCGAATGAAAAATTCTTTGCCTTGGGGAATAATAATTGTTGTTTCGAAACACTACATTCGAGTTTCCATCCGAAAAGAACGTGTTTTACCGTGCGTGCTTTTTTCTATCGTAATCGTACGAAAAATGTGCTTACTGGAGCGCATAAACAGAAAGAAAAGAATGGGAAAAAAACGAAATAAAAGAAAAAAATGATCCGTTATTTCGAGCTCAACCAATTTGGTCGTCGAAAGTCGCTGGCATCTTTTGCGATCAATCGCGAAAGCGTGCGCTGATTCTAGGTTCCCTCATGACCGTGCCGGTAGCACGCCTAACTAGGGATACTCTAGTCCCGGCTTGGCTCTTTAAACGGCTCTACGTATTGCGTGCGAATCGTGCGTTTTTATGTGTGCGTATCGGCAAGGAGTGGTGTGTGTGCGCGCGCTCGCATAATCGCGTTCCCTCATTGTCTGCCTACTCGCGCTCACTCGCTCGCTCTCGTATGCATGGCCGCTTCGGTGCGTGGCGTACGGATTATATCGCGCGTACGCATTGCCGTGTTCAATAAAATCGGAATTCGTTTGTTGTTTGGTCGTGGTCGAACATTCTACGTGGTATTAAAAAATAAAAATAAAAACAGAAAGAAAAAGACAACCTCTAAACCTTCGATCTATGTTAACAGCTGATCGCGGACGATTACTCTGTATGAGCGATGTAAAACAGATTCATTGATGCAATATATATATATATATATATATATATTTTCCACTTTTCCACAATGATAAGAAAAAGAGAACGATTATTCATTGATAGACCTTGCAACCTGTGCAGTTTCTACAAGCGGAAGAATGAAAAAAGGGGGACAGTAAGGTTCGTCGTTAACATCTGGGGCCTGAAGCCTCATACACACGAGGCATGTTTACTTATCTGTATAAAATCTATTGGAAATTTTTTGCTGTATTTTCTATTTCTGTGCAAAGCACACTTTTCAGATTTCATATATATATAATATTTTATTAACTTAAGACAAAAAAGAAAAGAAAAAAAAATATTGTTACATTAAACAAGAATATTGGATTTATTGCATACCTCCTTAAAAATCGTTTAGAACGTTTGTGAACGAACGTTATGTCTCGTGTTTTAAAGAGCACGCTTCTCTACTAATCGATGGACTCTAGGCTAGTTCTACATCCAATGCCGTCGACGCGAGTTACACTAGTCAAGTTTTATCTTTGAGATAACATCCTACCAATCAATGCCTCCGCACCGTGCATTGCTCCCAACCTTCGAATGTGCTTTACCGTGCTATTGGCCCCACGATCTCTCGTTATAATCGATGTAGTACGGTGTGTACTCGGCCAAACAGGCGAAAACAGACAACCACGCAGTTCGACCGGGAGTTTGCTTCTAAAACTGCTTACAACGCAAGGCTGCTGTAACACGACGATCCTACGACGTGCCTCTTTAAACCACACCCGGAACGCTGCCTCATGTTCTTGGGACGCTTGCTCTTTTTTTCGAAAATTCTCGTACGCGTCCGCACTGTGGGTCTCATTCTGCTCAGGCGCGTAACGAGTCTTTTGAAAACG